TCTGCATGGTTTTGCCCTTGCAATTACTACAACTGCCTCCTTTTTCCCTTATGCAGTCTTTTTGTTTGCCTGTTTTAAGTCTGAGGTTTGAATCTGTTCACATGTCCTTTGTTTAAACACATCCCTGCTGCCTTCAGGTGTGTTTGTTGATCCCTTGAGCTGAATCTAGGAAAAAAAAAGTAGTGCTGGATAACAACACATTGCATCACTCTCACTAAGAGGGGGAAAGCACATCACTTCCTCCCAACCTTTTGTCCCTGGAGCCCTCTACAGCAGCTTAGCAGGCTGGCTTCATTCCCATGGTCCTTCCAGCCTGCTGGGATTTGCTCATTTCCTTAAAAGAACTGGGAGTTTAGAAGGAAAAACTTTGATAGTAGTGTTGACTGAGGTGGTATTTAAAGCTGCATTCCTTGAAATGACTCCAGGTGAAGTAGCCAGTGTACCAAGTTATCTTACCAGTCTTTGCTCTTCAGAAGTCTACATTGTATCTGACAGCAGATGCACATCACACAGAAATTACCCTGCCAGTGGATGCTTCAATTAGATTTTGTCTAAAAGTATGTGATGGTGTTTTGTTTGTGATCTTGAGAAATCAAAATATTGAGTTGCAGTTTAATTTAAATTAAAAACAAACAAACCAACCTAACAAACAAAAAAAAAAAAAATCAACAATTTAATATCACGTTCAGAAAACCTTGTTTTAGGATAAATTTTGGGTGATCTATACAGGTCCCCTAATTTTACTCCTAGGCAGTGACATGTTCAGCACTGCTATTGCTGTGTGTTGCTTTGTGATGCTTCTTGTTTTTATGGTCCCAGGATTATCCTGGAGTTTTCAGAGCACAGCTCTGAAACTATTCATCTCTTTGTCTGAGAAAACAGATAGAAAAGTGGACTAGAAAAACAAATGCAACCTATTTGGTTTTGTGCAGCATCTGGAAAGCAGAATTCATCTTAGTAAATGCACAAGTTCACCCCAGAGCTGGTCATGGGGGGAGTCCCCTTCACAGACAACAGAGAGAGAATTGATGCACAAAGGGAACCAGGGCATGGCTCACCTCCTCCCAAAGGACACATCTGAAACAGCTCACACAGCTTATGCCCTCAGCATGCCTGGTTCCCTCCCTGACAGGAGACAGCCCGGTCTGACCACCTCATACACAGGGGTTTACACCACAGGTGTCTGGAATTCGGGGTGCAGCCTCTCTAAACATATAGATGGAACAAGATTGCACTTCCTAAAGCCTTTTACACGCAGCAGCTCTGGGCCCGGTGTGTGCTGCTCCTCTCACCTGCACTCAGTTGCTGTGGATGTGCCATGCTTGGTATCTCTGTGTTTCATAACCTCTCAGCTCACTGCTTCCAGGGCAAGGCAGCAGTTTCAGCACAGTTTCTCACCGAGTGAGCTGCATCTCTTCCAAAGAGGGTTCTGGCTCTCTTTCCTCTGCTTGCCCCAGTCCTGTACCCTGTGCAGCAGTACCCAAAGTCTTTTTTCAAACAAATACTATTCTGCTGAATTAAGCATTTTAAGGCTCTTCAGAAAGGCAAAGATTACCCAAATGCTCTGAGGGTCAATATGGCACGCCTCTCTGCCCCAATGTATTCAGGACTCGGTGTTCACATAGCACTGGATAACTGAGTTATTACCTGTAGTGGAAAATCTGTGCTGTTTAAAGAAACAGTTGCTTAAGCCTGTTCCATCGAATGCCAGTTAGGGTCCACCCTCAGACTTTTGGCATATTTCCAAATCAGCCTTGAACTGAACAGCCTTTGATCAGTTCCACAGAAAGTTAATGGCACATAATTGTAGGTTACAGCAAGATATTGAGGTGAGGGGAAACATAGCATTATAAGGAAGCAGATGAGAGCACAACTTGGTTATTTTGTCACTTCAGTGACAGAAGTGGAGACAAGCATCAATTGCCCAGTTACTGTAAACCTGCACTGTTTGTCTTGGGGTTTTTTCAGACAATGGTGATAATTGTAGGTATGAGCTTCTTGGAAGATCGAGGACTGCAATTATGGGATGTTTGTCATTTGAACACTCTTTGCAGTAACTGACATAGAAATGTATGCATCAGTTTGAATGTTTGGAGTGTGTCCAAAGATATAGATGGCTGATACCACTTCATACTCCTAATTTCATGATTGCAACAGAATGCTATTGTATGTAAACTTGACTCTTCCTGGTGTTTTGGCTAAAGTTGACAATAGTGGTTCACTTAACTTATTAGAAGGTTTTCAGATTTTTAGGATTTGATGTTTATTTGCATGTATTCACTCATCCAAGTGTTACCTCAAACAAAGAGCATGGTTTCAATTGATACTTTTCACTTCTGTGCTGTAAAAACTGGAAACAACTCAAACTGTACCTTTTATTTCCAATGACTGAGGAATTTTCTTAATTCCTTACATGTTCCACTCACAGGAAGAATTACACAGAGAGAAAGAAAAATTAAAGTGTTGCCTGTACCATTTTTATACTATCTCTCCACAGAAAGCTTTTCTTTTTATAACAGTTCTTTCCACTGACATTCAAATCAGACTATGCTTATCTGATGCCTGATATGAGTTTGATAAAGTGCTTCATTTGAGAATGTGATTATTGAGAAGTCACCTACTGCAACTATAAGTATTCAGACAATACAGATGAATACACACTCTTCTGCAAATGCCCTTCCAAGAGTTTCTGAGGTTGCAGCTCTAAGTGATTCACCTCATACTATAAATTGTCAGTGTAGTAACCTTAGGACATCCTAGAACATGAGTCTGAAGTTAGTGGATTATGGAGTAAGAAGCAAGTAGGTTATGCATTTATTATATGCATTATTGTCCTGGTCTATAATAATGCTGGCTGGCCGTGTTAAGTCATGTAGAGAATTATGTCTCAAGACTCAAGTAAGCTTTCTGAATGTGTCAGTATTCATGTACAACTGAGAGGCATTTCACAAAAGCTATTTTTCCACATCCACTTATCTTCAGTTCAGCATTGCCCAGCTTAATCTCTGGGCTATTACCCATGTTAAAGATTTTAGTATAAGCAGGATAGTGAATAAATAAATATCTATTGAGAACTGTCCTACAGAAAGAGGATGCAGAGGGGAAAAAGCAGTAGCTGCATGTCTTCACAGACCACACAAACAATATAATTTCTGAAAGCTTTTTCAAATTTGTTTTACTTTTCAAGCTTTTATGAGTCCTTAGTGCATCATCTCAAGAACGTTGCCATTGTTTGAGATGCTTTCAGTCTCACAGTGCAAGTACATGGATTATGGCAGCAGAAGCACAGGCAGGAAAGCCAAGGCAAATCCTCTTGCTCTTCTCACAGCCTGGCCACTGCTGTCTTCCCAAGCAAAGCAGGTAAAAATTTATTTGCTCTAAAGTCCAGGGGAAAATTAATCCACTCTTGTGCCCTTTACAATCCTTCTCATTGAGGAAGGCTCCTCTCTGGGCAACACTTTCATTTTGTTCACTATAGTATTAAAAGAAATACAAGGCTCCCATATGAATGAATTTAACCTCTGGAAAACACAACTTTGTATCAATCTCTTCAATTTTACCTGCACATAAATAAGCTAAAAGACAATCTTTGTAAGCTTTGTTGGGTTTCAGTTTTAAAGAGAGAGAAAGAAAATTAGGGCAAGGATTTAGACCTATTGAGTATAATGTAAGTAGTCACAGGCCGTAAAATGGGAGATTTTATTAACCTAGGTGAGAGAAAAGCAGGAAATTGCCATATTATATAATTTTCCACTGAGGAACCTCTAGTGGAATTGCTATTTCCAGGAGGGCGTAGTGTTCCTAGAAGTGAGAATTGATTTAGATTTTTCTCTCATCATTCCACTCTGAAAATAGAATCCGAGCTCTTGCCAATGTGTAGGAGTATCTCTTTTTTAAAATCATTATCACAATAAGGCAAACTTCTTCTTAAAACAAAACACTTTATGTGCATAAAATCTCATATGCTTGGTGCTTATTGTCTGCCACATCCCAATATTTAACAAGTGTCCTATAATGATAGCTTCCTCTTTCACGCTCCATTTTGCAAAGAGATTTCAAAGCATTTCCCAAAGAAAGTGAGCTGTAATTATGCACGTGGTAGAGATGGGGAAACAGAAACACCAAGAGGTAAAGCAATTTGCCCAAGGTGACAGGACAAATTAGAGGCAGAGTCAGGCATAAATCCCATGTCTCCTACTCTTTGCTCCCTTGCTAACCACAACCTCAGCTGGAGATGGTATCACCAGCCTGTAAAAGCAGTAGGGAGATGCTATGGGAGTACTACAAGATGCACCCTGATGTGAAGCTGATACAGGATAAGAATCAGGGCCCACCTGCAGTTCTTCTTGGTCACAGGGGTAACAGGTAAATGGTAACTGATCTGAGAGGGGCTTGCAGGACAGTGCTGGGGACTCCTCACTGAACCTTGGGTGGGTAGGCAGGGGCTGTTGAAAGGCAGAGCAACCTCCATGGCTGCTGCACGGAGGAACCCTGCCTGCAAGCACTGAGGCACCAATAACCTCATGTTCCTGGAGATGCATTCCTCAGAAATCAGACCCACACAGTTTTTGCCCTTCAGTAGTGATCAGAGTGGCTGATCATGGAGACAGAGGACCCTGCAGAGCAACGTGGAGCTGCTTTGTCCCACAGGACATCATGCCTTGGAGAGATGCAGTGGCAGCCCTCACCACCTTGTTGCACAGCAGAAGGATTCCTGCAGTCTCAGAGTTCAGAAGCATCCAAACTCTACCGCTATTTGTGGTTTATTTGGCACGTTAAGATTGATTTGAAATAATTTCCTGTGTATTCGCAAACCCAGCAAGTAGTTTCCCTTTAAAGTGCACCAGCTGTGACATTGGGCAGGTTCTGTAATTTCAAATGAGGCGCTAAGAGACTACTCCTTTCAACAGCTTTTTTTTTTTTAATGAGGGTGGGTACCTGTTGCAATGAATCAATTAAAACTCTTCTGACACACAAGTTGTGTGTTGCCAGACCCGTTTCACAGGTTTCTCAGGAGGGAGGATAACATGTGACAGCACACAGAGAAGCCAAGAGTACTGGAGAAGATCAGAAGCCTGCATGAGTGAGCTTAGCTTTCCAAAATATTTTCTTAAAGCGCTATTCAAGGGACCACTGACCTCTGCAACAGACAGCACCATGGTGGAGCAAGAGATGCTGCTATCGTGCGCTTATCCTCCAGAAAAGTGTAAGTGACCAAATATGATTTTGTATAAGAAATGAAAACAGGACACTGGAGGAAGGAAATAGAAGAAATTATCTAGGTTGTATAATTGAAAAGACTGAGGGAGTAGAGGGGAAATGCTGGAAGAAGGAAATAAGGAAGCTATTAACTTTATATTGTAGGCATGCAATTGAAATATGATTAGTGTACTTGCAAGCAAAAGAAAAGATGCTTGTATGCACAGCTCTGATACAAAAGCTTCTTGAAGAAACTTGCTTTAATCTTTGACTTTCTGCCTGTATTTGCAAAGCGCTGTGGCGTGGAGCTGCTTGTGTGGTAGAGAACGTGAACAACAAGCTTTGATTTTGTAACTTATTAAGGAGCAGACTGGAGTGCAAAGAAAGCATTTTAAAGAAAGACACGGTGTGATTAAAAGCAACGGTTTAGGCTTTTTTAACAATGCAATGCCTCTTTTTCCTAAGACATTGGCACACTTTCTGGTATTTTATCCAAATTAGATTCAGGTACAGTGGAAATATATCCAAATCCATCCGTCCTTCCCGAAACCATGTTGTCACAGAACCTCTTTGTGAACCAGGAATTTTGTTTTTATTACCAGAAAATATAATACAGGCAACAAACCAAATAAAATCTGTACATATTGGCATTTAAAATGCCTGGGAAACTTTTAAAAAACTAGTGAAATAACCGAGTCAGATTTCCAGCATGCCAAAGATGAGTATGACAGAAAGGTAGAAATGTAGCTGACTACAATAAAGTCAGGTAACTATGTCTGGACTGAACATGTCTGAACAAAATATTAAGCAAATGTAGAAATGGAACTGGTATGTCCTGAAGCCACTTCGGTGCACTGCCAGAACAAAATACAGTACAAAAAAAATAAAAAACCTTCTCCCTTTCAACTCAAGAAATATTGCTTTTTGAATGGCCTAACTTGCTTTGGCAACTTCACAAGGAGGTTATTTAAAACTTACTCCACATTTAAGGATTGTCTTTTTTCTGTTCTGTAAAAATACCACTTTGTACAGGGCTTTGTGTTAGTTATTGGAAGCAGAATAGGACAGGGATGTCAGCAAAGATACAGTTTACCTGTAGAGAGACGCTTTCAGTTTTGTCTTGTTTTCTGCTCCCTATTTTGTATATGCAAAGGGTAAGAGAGATAAAAATCATCCTTACCACAGTGTCCTGTTGAGCTGATTTAGAAGCTCAAAGCCAGCTGACTGTAACAGAGCTTAAATGAAACCTGGAGTTAAAATATCTGTGCTATTAAAAAAAAAAAAACACAACCAACCCATACTTTCCTTTCTGCTGCCTACTGTCTTATTCAGGGTTTTTTAAAAGCAAGATGACAGTATTTTTAGCTTGGCTGTAACCCCAACAATATAAATGATTGTTTTTGTTTAATGGAGTGATTTTTTTTTTTCCTTTCTGTTGTTCACTTTAACATTAAATAGAAAATGGGAGTCATAGTGGGCTAAAATCATCCAATTGCCTTTTATGGAAGACATAAAAGGTCACTGGACCTCTCAAATTGCTCAGTTCTGTGTATGAAATTTAACTTCTTACTGTGTGTCATTGTATTTGCATGTGTGTGAGAGAAAGAGATTTCTCTGTCTTAGGTTGGCTGTCAAATTCACAGAAATGTGACACGCAGCACTGTAGGGGCTGAAAAAATTGCATAGAGAAATCAAACCAAGCCCAAAGGAACTAAATCCATAGGAGGAAGGAAGCCATGTAATACCTCAGGATGGATGAGCTGGGTCCACTAATTACACCTTCTGGTGGCATGAATTAGCAGTGACCCCCCTGAAGCCAACTGAGTTACCCCATGGGCTTAAGAAAGGACTATGTAGAGGACCAGCCTCGCTGCATTTACAGTGTTGAGCTCTTGCCCAGAACAGGTAGGGTATGTATCTGACATGTTAAAAAGGCAAACAGGGTGCTGAATGGGTCCATTCTAGCTGTAAAGGGTCAAATTATGCCTCAGTGGGTGATGCTTTTCAGCTCAAAACTAAGTGATGTCTTGGATTGATCCAAAAGGTCAGCCTGCTGTAGATTTAAGCTTATAAAGAAAAACCTACATCTTGTAAGAAATTTTTTCTGCTAAGCAAAATGAGCATGGTATGTCTTTGGAAGTCTGGACCTACTTGTTGGGAGCTGTTGGTTTTCCACCTGCTGCTATGTGAAGTGAACAAGAAACTCATAACTTTATACCTGAACCAAAGTTGTAGCTATCTGTGACGACGCATTTCCACATGCTTCCTGCTTAATGCCATTTGTCTCCCTAAAAGTCTCGCAAGGGAAAACTAAGATGCTTGTGGTTTGGGTTTTGTTTGGTTTTTTTTTGACCTCCAAGACACACCAGGATGGTCACAACATTGAAAAATTAGCCTGTAGTTAGTCATGTGGCATGTTTTTCAAAGAACCATGATGGTCCAGTGCTGTAGTGCCATGTTATTCGTCTATGGGTGAATGCTTTTGCTTCCCTTGAAGGGAATATGAGCTGGGATTTTCTGTGGTCTGTAGCCCTATTTCATGAGGTATTTGGAGCAAACTTTATTGAAGCCATTAGAAATTCTCTTGTCCATGAGGTATTTGGAGCAAACTTTGTTGAAGCCATTAGAAATTCTCTTGTCAGAGGCAGCTTTCAAAGGAAAAACAAAGGTAAATTAGCCATTACAATGGATTTTACTTATCTTAGAAATAAAAAAGTGTATCAAATATGTAGTTGCTCCTAGAATGGGATAAACAGACTTCTAAACAATGTGACATAGTCCTAGGTTTTCCTAAATAGCTGCCTGCAAAAGTAAATTTCCAAGGAAAATAACGGAAGCTATCTTTTTGTACTTCTCCCTATGCATTATTATTTATTTTAATATTTCATATTTTTTAATGTATTTGGAATATCTTATGTTAAGCTTTAGGCAATATTTGTACATTCCCAAAGCCCGAATATAGATTTATTTTTTTTTAACTCCAGAAGAGCATATAACAAAAATACACTGGTCTAAAACTTCATTAAAAAACAAAACCAACCAACCAAACAAAAAACACACCAAAAAAAACCAAAACAAACAAATCTCACCAACAAACAAACAAAAAACCCTCAAAAAAAACCCAGCACTTTTGTGCTTGTACTTTAATTTTCTGTCACACAATTAATAACTTTTTTTTCAATTATTCTGAAAGCAAATTACCTTTATGTTAGAACCAAACAAAGATATTTCAACCAGAAATTGTGTCTGAAATGAAGATTTGGGGTTTTTGTTTGTTTGCTTGTTTTGAATGACTTTCTCAGCTATGAAATGCCAAACACACTTTCAGGATGGCTTACTAGACTTCAGATTTGAAAAAAACATTGTAAAATTAATATATTTCTTTCTTACTGTCTAAGAGCAGCACTGTGGTGTTCTGTGTGTGCTGATGAGAGGATGTGGGCAATATCCATTCTCTGTCTTGAGAAGATAAAAAAGTGGTGATTGCCTAGGAGGAATATTTAAAAAGTCTTTATCTGAAACAGTTTTCCCAGACTTGCTCATTCTCATTTTTTTTATTTGGAAATTGAAATTTTTTTTGTTTGATCATGTCAGAATACATTCTTTTAGACTTAGACAAATTAATGATCATCCTCAAAGCAGGGTAATTCCCTGTTAACAATATCACTTTGTTTTTAAACCACTTCTCAAATTTGCCAGAAAAGACTTCTTTTCTTTCATTTTGTTGGATTGTGGATTAACATATTAAATCATGCCAGATTAAAAACTGGTCTCAGGTGGATCACAAGAAAAGCAGCCCTAGTTATCTCCTGATGAACAGCTACCTTTTTAAAACCTAATAGAGAATCAATTTCTAATCTATCACACTCTCTTTAATCTCCAGTAAATGCACATTTTGAATAAAAAAGTCACGTGTAGTTCGATTGCATGTCTTGGAGAAATCAAAATATACTGTTCCAATACAGATGCAGTTCTTCAACAGAGCTGTCACACTGTCAAAACAAAAGATTTATTTAAGGAAATCTGTTTTCCAGGGAGCTGTGCTGCCTGTCATCTTTTTTGGCTGATTTTTTGATATCTTGCCAAATTAACACGAGTGTATGTCAATCCAATCTATAGCTGTAGTCAGCTAATAGGAAATGAAGTCTGTATCACTCCTTAATTTCTGAAGATCAGATATGTCCAAGGGAAGAACAAATAAACTGAAAACAAGCCAAAGGTAGTACACATGCTATTCTCATGCTTCTCCACTCAGAGGCACATTGAAAGATACTGCCATGTAAATTCCTGCATGGTGAATTATCTTTGGAAGAAGGGCTTATGCAACACAAGGGTGGAGCCTAGGCAGATGGATATGATGGACAAATGTACCTGTCAAAGGTTGCAGAGAAGTATATTTGGGGAAACAGTTTAAGTTGTGTTCTCTCTGAGGAGAATGGCCACTAAAAATCTCTGCAGAAATTTGGTATAACCACTGCTGACTACTCATTTTGCGCAGATTACCTTAGTTGCCCCAGAAAAATGCCAGGCTTAGCTGGAAAAGGAGATATGGAGCAAACACCCAAACTCTGCAGGCTCCTCCAGGGGCCTGGCAGCTGCATAAAGGCTGCTCAGGAACCCTCAGGAGGATGCAGGGACTTTGCCCACACAGTATCTTTGTGTTTAATGTTTTGCTGTTTGTGCTGCTGTGGTAACGAGGGTGGGAATGCTACCAGCAGCTGGAGGCGTGCAGCTCCCTGTGCAGGGAGATGGGCTCTGAGGGACAGTGGGAGGCTGGCCTAGGCTAACTGCAAGAAAGGAAAACAGTGTTCACAGAGAAAACGGCAGAAGGAAGTTTAAAATGGACTCAGAATATGTCTGCAGTATTGCTCAGCATACATGTCACATCTCAAAGGCATCATACGGCACAGCTGGGGCCCACTGTAGTCCTGGGTCTGGGAAGGTTTCTGGCTCTCTTGAGATATTTTTTTCTTCAATCACTTCTGTGAGGTTTCTGCTGTACTGGAT